GTTGGTGTTGTCTAAGTCTTTGCCATCGAGGAACTAAGTGTTTAGATGTCGTCTAGGTCTTCGCCGTCGAGGAAGTAAATGTCTACGGGATTGCCGTCAAGGAACTAAATGTCTAGGAATCGTCTAAGCCTTCGCTGTCGAGGAAGTGAGTGTCTCCGTGTTCGCTATCGAGGAACTAAGTGTCTAAGTGTCGTCTAGGTCTTCGCCATCGAGGAAGTGAATATCTATGTGGTTGCTGTCGAGAAAATGAATGTCTACGTTGTCCCCGTCGAGGAACTGAGTGTCGTCTAGATCTTCGCCGTCGAGGAAGTGAATGTCTACGTGGTCGCCGTCGATGAAATGAGTATCTAAGTATTCGCCGTCAAGGAACTAAGTGTTTGGTGTTGTCTAGGTCTTCGCCATCGAGGAACTAAATGTTTAGATGTCATCCAGGTCTTCGCCGTCGAGGAAGTATATGTCTACGTGATTGCCGTCGAGGAACTAAATTTCTAGGAGTCGTCTAAGCTTTCGCTGTCGAGGAAGTGAGTGTCTATGCGTTCGCTGTCGAGGAACTAAGTGTCTAGGTGTCGTCTAGGTCTTCGCCATCGAGGAAGTGAATGTCTACGTGTTCATCGTTGAGGAACTAAATGTCTAGGTGTCGTCTAGATCTTTGCCGTCGAGGAAGTGAATATCTATGTGGTCGCCGTCGAGGAATTAAATGTCTAGGTGACGTCTAGGTCTTTGCCGTTGAGAAAGTGAATGTCTACGTGTTCATCGTCGAGGAACTAAGTGTCTAGGTCTTCGCCGTCGAGGAAGTGAATATCTACGTGATCGCCGTCGAGGAAATGAATGTCTGTGTGGTTGCCGTCGAGGAATTAAGTGTCTAGGTGACGTCTAGGTCTTCGCCGTCGAGGAAGTGAATGTCAACGTGTTCGTCGTCGAGGAACTAAGTGTCCAAGTGTCGTCTACATTTTCATCGTCGAGGAAGAGAATGTCTACGTGGTCGCCGTCGAAGAACTAAGGATCTACGCGTCTTCTAGGTCTTCACCATCGAGAAAGTGAATGTTTACGTGGTCGCCATCGAGAAAATTTGTGTCTACGTGTTTACCGTCGAGGAACTAAGTGTCTACGTATTGTCTAGATCTTTGCCGTCGAGGAAGTAAATGTCTATGTAATCGCCGTCGAAGAATTAAGTGTCTTCTAGGTCTCGCCTCTCTCTCGCCTTTCTCGTCTCTTTTACAGCTCTCTCGTCTCCTTAACAATTTTCTCGTCTCTTTCTCAGAACCCTCATCTGTCTCATGACTCTCTCGACTCTTTAACAATTCTGTCGTCTCTTTTTCAGTACTCTCGCCCTTCTCACAACTCTCTCGTCTCTTCTACAGTTTTCTTATCTTTCTCACGGCTCTCTCGTATTCCTTACATCTTTCTCGTCTGT